GGGAGTTTATTATATGTATATTAAATGCAGTTTTGTTGTTGTTCATATATTGTAAGAGATTAGTTCACTATTGCACTTGCGGCTGTTTTTATTTATTTTTTGTAGGCAAGGGTAGGAGCGCAGATTTGATTGAAAGAGGAAACTACTGGCCATAGCAACTAATGAGGATAAAGAAATGGGGTACTGTTGTTGTACAAGTTTAATTGTTACAGTGTCCAAATGAAAATATGTGGATGATCTCTAATGAATCACAACGCTGATCGACCATTTACAGATAATCTGTACTGCAACAAGACAATGACATGCAGAAAAATAAACACAGGGATAACATATTGCAAAGATCTTTCACCTGGCTTTAATTCTGATTAACCATTCTTACAAAGTGACATTATCCGTGTTCTTCTGATTTATGAGCTATTGTACAGTTGAATCTTTCATATCGGATTATGATTTTTATCACAGCAAAATGCTATTCAAATTTACATACTTTTTCACAAATACAGTGGTTGGCATTCATCAATGCACTAATCCAGCACACGAAAAAAAAAACGTTTCCTCCAGCAGACCATAGCAATTGTAAAAGCAACTAAAGGGAATCTATAGATTTTTTTTAAAATTTATATTAATATGATTGGCTTACTGTTAAAGTTTAAAACAATATTGTTTATTGACCGTTTGGAATTACAGTACAAATGAATGGCAATATTTGCTAGACACACATACAGGCTGTGCATGCTCCTTAGTACTGTGACACACTGACAGTGCTTTCCTGTTCCTTGTGTTCTTAATACAAGCCTAAAGCTGGCCATACACCTTACAATTGTCGTTCGATTTCTTGTGTCCCGTCATCGAACCCCAGTTTGATTTCCGCACGACTGCCCCATCATGCACAGACCAATGTTGATTTTGATTATCGTTCGTTAGCAATACTAACTCACCGAATTTTGTTGATCGACAGAACGGATTTTCCTTTGCACATGTGCAGTGTTCATGTTGTGATATTTTTTCCTTATGAAAACGCCACTAATCCATTGATTTTCGTACGATTAGAAAAGTTTTCCAGCCTGACTGATTGAGGAAATTCAGCCAGTTGTACAGTCATTGTGATCATTCACTTACCATCAACTGCCCAATTAGTTAAGGAAAACCCGATCTCGTTCGATTTGCAAACGATAATGGCAAGGTGTATGGGCACCTTTAGAGCCTGCTCTCACTGACTGAAGACATTACAATATCTTATCTGGTAATCTCAGCAGTCCTTTACCAAGTAACTAATTGTACTTGTGTGGCGTATAGACAGTACATATAACGGGAAATTATAATTTCTAAAGAAAATGCAGACAAGCCAGTAAGCAGAACTAAAAGTCACACCCAAAATTGCTTCCAGGTAAATGTTGAAATAAAAACTTGAAATGTATACTCAGTGAAATACACTATAGTTTCCCTTGTTAGCACTACACTTCATAAATTGAAATGGCTCAATTTCACTTAATTATACCCTTAAATTTATTTAGTAATCTTAGATGTAGCCCTTACTTGGAGCAGATTAGTGCAATGACAAATTACTTCCAACATTCAGCAGAATGTACGTTAAGTGAGAGCAATTCTGAAAAGAAAATACATTGAATGTTTAATTGAACATTTTAAATAATTTACAACATCTGAATGCTCAAGTAACATGATGGTAAAAGACACTGGAAACAAACATCTTCTTGGCAAGATATTTTAAATGTTAACTAGATAGATTAGGAAACCTAAAAAAAATAAAAATGACATTATCCTTTACATAAGAAACTTACTTAGCAACATTGTGTAAAGGAGGTTTCACTAGCACCAGTAATTTCTCCCTCCAATTATTTTAAAAAGGATGAGAGGTTGTGATTTTAGAGACTAATCGATACGCAAAAAAATACTAACGATAATCCAAAACAAGTTCATTGTGAACAACAAGAGAGTTCAAATGAACTGCCATCAGAATTGAGTCATCTGTTTCATGTAATGTTTCAAGAGGTAATTTGAAATACATTTTTAATGTAATTCTAGTCAGATTTTTTATAAGGTATACTCAAACTATTCAGTCATGAAATGCTTCATTACTGAAACATATTTTGAGTTGTACATGAGGCAGTCTTGAGTCATGATATCTATTGACATATAAGCCACATCACATATATTAACAAATTGCGTGACAGAGATTTAAAGAAGGACTCAGAGAAATAAAATAGCACAGAACAAAATAAATCGGATTTTATTTATACTTTCATGGTGATTTTTTTTCACTATTTGTATTCACTACTTTTAACCTACCCAACCATCCTTGAGCAATTATTTTGTATGGAAGTTTACAATGATCTTGAAAATTTACAAGACAGTATATGTAAATAATAAAAAATAATAGAAGAACATTGTCTGAGATAACAAAGCATGTTGGATGAAGACATTGCATTTTTGGTTTACTGGCACTAATTTTCAGAACAGCCCATCACTCTCCTACGCTACCTCCAAAATGGGTAAATACAGGGCTCCTATCCAATTTTTTTTTTTCTTTTAACAGGAACATTTTTATTACTTGGGCTGCTTGAACTGTTTATTTTTTAAGAAATTAAAAATATAAACAAATGCAAATGTAACAAGATATAAGAAACAAGATTTTAGCTGCGTAGAATTGGGTAGGAAGCAGATTGAATATCTCCACCCAACAATGCCTATATTACTCTATTTCGCCTGGTGCCTTCTGCATAAAAATATATATATATGTATATATATTTTAAATAACTGGTGAATAACCATTATGATTACTTGTTGTAGACCTTGTGCTTCAATTTTTTTGGATATTGTGCCAATAAAAGGAGAAGAGATGCAGGGTAAAAATGAACCCATTAGCAACATCCTTGAGACCAAATATAATATGAATCCACTAGACAAACTACCTGTACAATCATCCACTGTGCCACCAGAATAAAATGTATTTCCTAGTCACAATAAATGAATGAC